GGACATCAGCGGTTTGTTCTTGTTAGACTTTAAGATTATATCGCTTGGAAAACAAAACAGAAAACCCATCTATTTTCACCTTCGGCAATTTGAAGTCAGGTTATTGGTTGATAATAAAATGAGTTTGCTGTTCTTTAGATTTTACTTCATAATTAATTGCTAAAAGCTTTTATCCTTGTGTTAATAAAAAACAAGACCTAGTTGAATGTTTTGTGACTTATCAAATGAAAATAGCACATTTCTTTTAGCAGCCACGGTACATGAGATGGTTGTCGGATGAAGTTTCTTGTAACGTTTGATGAAATTAAGGGCCTTGATCGGGTTTGGAAATACACAGAGCTAAGCACTAACTCTTCACTCTACTAAGAAAGATGTTTGATAAATCCAGTGCTGATTGGTGTTGAACTCTAGCAGATAATGCTGGATAAGAGACTCAGCTCACACTGTTGACACAACAGATGGCTGTTTACGTTGTTGCTGTTTATAATGGCGTCCTGTTATATCAGCGATGACTGTAAATGACAACCCCAGTGCTGTCACCACTCTCTACACACTGAGCTCCAATCTGTCTGGAATATGAAGATTTTGGTGTTTCAAATCTGATTCAGACTGAAATTTCAAAAATACTATTAGCATGTATCACTGTTAAAAAAAAATGTTTGCTTCACTTTGACTCCAGACTGCATTTAGCTGCAGACACTGTTGCTGCAGGATAAAGCATCATTAAGCTGAGCTAATCATTTGCTTTATGTCCCAGATTCAGTGTTTCCTGGTGATCCGGTCATTAAGGCTGCAGTGCTAGGCTGAGTGTTCACAGTTAAAATAACTTAGCATGTGAAATTATACAGACAATTAAAACCTCAGCATTCCTTTAAAGGGGACGTATCATGTAAAATGCGCTTTTTTAGCCATGAAATGCATTTTGTTGTGTACTTGGAGTATGTAGAAGTGCAAGAAATGTTTATATTCTGTTTGGGTCATATTTTTTCAACCATGTGACATTTTCTGTGCTATAATAGTTGCGACAGAACTTATAAATAAGGCCTGGGCTTACCAACTACAATTTCCTCATCTCCATTCTCCTCTGGTTCTAGGTCAGACTCTGGCTCCAACATGTAAGGCTGGATGAACAAGTCTCCCCTTGTTGACATATTTTCATTAATTTGTAAATAAAACGTTTCTGTGCTGCTATATCATAAACCCTGCTATCAAACTACAGTGAACCATTCTGGAAGGGGGTGGGGGTGTAAAGTGCCTCATTTGAATTTAAAGAGACAGCCTCAAAACGAGATGATCTGAGACGCACCTGAGAAAAGGAGTGAAAGAGGGGATTGTGGAGTTACAATAAGGAGGATTTCAGACCAAAACATTGCAGTTCCACTTTATATAGACCCCAACTTAATAATTTAAATGTGAAAAAGGATTTAAAAGCAGGATATGTCTCCTTTTAAGAAGTTAATTTATCTGGTGTCTTTCATGCTAGTTTTAAACTATGATTGAGTAGCACTTTGKATCAAATCTCACAATATCTGAACCAGCAACCTCTGATCTTATCTTCTCTAACCTCTGCTCCATCACTCCCTCTAATACTAATCTATTAACACAACAAATTTGAGCTCACTACCAATAGTTATATACAATTTTGTAATGACCAAGATTGATTGGCTTTGGTTGCCATCTTAAATTGGATCAACTCTAAAGGTTAAGATGTGTACATCCAATAATTATTTTCTCTGAACTTTTTTAAAACATGAACTATGAGTTYACAACATATTTTGCTAACATCACAGACAAAAAAAAAACCCTACTCAAGGACACACAAACACAGACCAAAACAATATTTTCTGCCTTTCATCTTTCATAATCTGGCAATAATTAAACCGTCTGACTCACCGTTATAGAGGAAACTGCTCACCACTGTTTTCAGGACATTTTGTATGAACATTGTGTGCACATCTGAAAAGTAGCCCATGTAACATTAATATTTTTTTCACATTTTTCTTATTTATTAGTCATTATGTAACCAGGAAAATCCCATTGATATCACAGATCTCTTTTGCAAGGGTGTCCTTAGCCTGAAGGCCTTGAAACCGCAAATAAAATAAAATGAAAAACTCTAGATAGTGGTAAGTGTTTTAGAATTGTACAGAATAAAAAAATAACTATTTGCCGTGGCTTTAAGAGCTGGAAAAGCCACAAACATAACATAAATGTATTTTGTTTTGAAACATTACCTGAGCTATGACCTACTGTATGTTCCTCTCTGTACTTCTTCTTGGTCCTACCTCTGTTTTACAGAGCTAATGTGCCTCGTATTATTTTGAGAACAAACTCGTAGTATTTTTGTAGCCTTCCCATATGGCATAGGGGCTAATCTGGATGGCTAGATGGCCAGACTTTCTTCACCTATTATACCGATAAGAATGAAAAACAGAGGCGTAGGGCCAAGGTGGCCAAGGAAAGTAATTGAAGCTTGGGCCGTAGAATCAAAGCTTTGTCAAAGGATTAGTCAGCCAAGAGAATTTTAAGGTGAAGTTAAAATGGCGGCATGTGATTGCAAAAGGTTTAGAGACTGCAGTTTGCCAATTCTACCTGGTCTACAAGTGTAGAGGGGAACAGCATTCTATCATGCTGCTTTTGCTGTTTATTGCAAATATGTTTAGATTCCCATCTGTTTTTTGTAAATGGTAATGTGGAGTATGCTATATTATTATATTATTATTATGTGTTAGGTGTGATGCAGCACAGGTTACCTTTCTGTTGGGTAACTAGCAAATGACTTGGAAGTCCAGAAAAACTGGTTTCCACTTCTGGCGGCATTGTTTGTGGTTTCACAGTCTGTTTTTGTATTCCTTGCTTTCCTACGCGCCATGTTTTTTTTTCCTCTCAGAGTATTCTTTTCAGGAACGTCTAATCTTTGCAAACACACAATGTGTCAAAAGTACAAAAACTGAATGTAAGGCCTTTTGAGGTAAAGCAAAACAACCTAACGTTGACTTCCTGCTTAGTGATTGTTAACTTCCAGGATCTGGTGGATCAAAAACAAAACAAAAAAATGTCAGGCCTTGTGTTTTTACGGAATTTCACAATCTCAGCAGCTATTGTTCGGTTTATTTTTAGGTTAGTGATTTATGCTAGAGTTGACTAGAGCCATGCAGGACAGCTTTCACACTAGAAGTTTCATAGATGAATGTGGGGCGCGCTCGGATACATTCAGTCTTTATTTGATTGTGTTGCACGTGAACTCACAAGAATCTGAGGGATAAGATTCACGTGATGCTCCTCAGCCTCTGTCACTGAAGTGCTGATGTCAAACATAAAACAGTGAATCACTGTGACTGAGGTTGATTTTTCTTAAACAAACTACAGGCTGCAAAATGCACCATATGTTCCACTCTAGTTTTTCAAAGCATCAAAACTCTTTGTGTATAAAATATATTGTAAATTACGTTAGGTAAAAGTTGTACTTGTTGCGGTTTTGAGGACGATTCCAATTTTCAGCCTTTTTACAAGTATAAACGTTTACATTTTCTCTAAAATTTCACCATGTTACAGAGCTTTTTCTATCATTACAAATCACTAAATATTATATTTTAAGCTCCTAAACATTTTTGTCGGGTTTATTTGCATATCAAAATAAAACAGTAGCAGCTGAATATCAGTTTTGGCTCTATAATCGTTTTTACCTACATGTTTTTGTCTTGTAAACTTAAATCAAGAAATTTCTTTTAAGAAGCCTATTGCTTGTACTACTTCTAACTATTTTTAAATCACCTTACAAATATAATAGTTTTCATTACTCAGTAAAGACTTTACCCAGAGACACAGATTAGCCAATTTAATATGTTGCTTTCAAAAGCTGGAAAGAACGATTTAGTGTTTGAGCAGCAAACTGTTAATCTGGTCAAACAAAATCATATGATTCAGGTCACTAGTCGATTGATGGACATGTCCTAAATATCACCAGGTGATTGCAATTAATGTATTCCTTCTTCACAATCAAGGGAGATTTCTTTACTTAATTCCTTCCTTCTGGTGACAAATCTGTTAGTGCTTCCTTTCCACATTAACTTAATTCTAATCACATGCAGTTCTGGTTTATTTATCTATGTCCTTGTTGACTATGGCACAATGCTTGTGTATTAAAAGATAGAAGGATCTGATTTAAAAAAATATATAGGTCATTCAGAAAGTAGCACATGGCCACAATAGGAATGTGGAAAATGCCATGTAGACGAGCTCAAGGAGCTTTGAAMACAATCAATGTGCCAGGTAGTACAAGTGTTGACTTGAGAGCGAAGCTGTCAACACCACAGGGATGCCACRAGCTTGTGTAGGCTTTACTGTAAAATCAACTGGTGGTGAGTGTGGTTCTACAGACTGCCCAACGTAATCCTCCTCAAACCTTCTTAGCCCGCTAATTTGTCTCCTTTGTCCCTCCTCCTCTTCCTCCTTTCTCCTTGTGTTTTACAGGTCAGCACAATTACCTGTGTGCAGGAAGAAACGATTGCATCATCGATAAGATCCGCAGGAAGAACTGTCCGGCATGCCGCTTCAGGAAATGTCTTCAAGCAGGAATGAATTTGGATGGTAAACAGTCTGACCGAGCACCAAAATCAGGCCAAACCACATTCAAATGCTGCCAGCACTTAGTCACTGCTCACACTGCAATTAGACTGTATTTCTTTCCCAAAAGTAAGAGTCCTCTCATGTGTTGGGTGAAATCACCACATGGACTTAAAATCATTTCAGTGAAAGACATGAGCCTTAATCCAAGCTTGACTAAAAAAAGGAATCCAGAGGATTATAGGGAGGAATCGTTTCACTCAGCCTTCACCTTCCACACCCACATTGTTAAAGGCACAAGTCCAAGAGCAAGTGGACAGTTTACACATTAAACGCATTCCTCTGAAACATAAACACAGAGTTTGCCAAGTGATTTGCAAAAACACTTTGAATCGATTGGCTTTGCTAACCTGAACAACAAATTGCTTTCAGTTTGTCACCATATTACATTTAATACATGCATGAACTTTATCCCTTTGATCAAAAGTATTTACCCATTTATTGGGAAAGAAAAGTGAGATTTTGTTCAAAAAAACAATCCRAACATAGTAGCTGTTTTGTAGGAAGGTGCAACCCTTCTTTTACGTAATTAGTCATGATGTGTAACATGTAATAACTGGAAGTGAAGACAGTTTGTCATTACACCCACTGCCACAAATTGAAACTTAAACAGTACAGAGAAATGCTGACACCCTTTGCGAGTCAGGGCTTCTCTAAGTTGAAATTTCATTTGAATCCTTTAGGACTAAATGAATTTGGATACTCAAACTTAACCATCCAGCTTATCAGTGTAACAACATGATGGCAACATATTGAAAAGACAACAAAATTAGGTTTATGGTATCTTGTAATTAATGTCACCCAAAATAAATTTAAGTGGAATTTCCTATTTAAATCTGTGGGTTTGGATTAAAATCCATTGAAATGAGCAAATGAGCTTAACTTCTGCATTAAACAAATGTTTAAAAACTTGTCTACTTTTGGAAAGCTATTATCCAAAATTTGAAATGACCACTTTACCTTGTATGACTTTTACATCACTGTCAACATCCTCTTTATTGCTTCCTTTAATAATTTTGAGCGTAGAGTCCAACACAGGCCTGTTTTTTTTACTCTTCTGCCAAAAAGTGTGTGTATGCATTATGAATGTGCTCTGCCGGGGGAAATGAGAGTGCATTTTCTTCCTCACACTCACTGAGATGGTTTTCACTGCTTAGTCCAATGCTCCAATTTTAGATGAAGTGGTACTTGGTTCTCCTTTTCGTCTTCATGGGATAAATCGTTGGGTCACAGTGGAGTGGTTGTGCTCTAACAGGGTTAAAGAGGATGGACCTGGGAATCTGCACACAGAGAAATACAACAGTTTGGGTTCTTTAAAGTTGGTTGTTTTCTTTAATAAGCTTCCTCAGGGGTGATAAATTGCCACTAGTTTGCACAATTTATTGTTGAGTGGAGGTTCATGAGGAAAGTGCAGCGTTTGTTGGACAGAGAGYGAGAGAGGCAGGAAGACAAAGTGGGATATGATGGACACTGGCGCTTTGGCAGGCAGGCCTCAAACTGAAAGGCTCATTGTTGCCATAGAAACATCAGGAAAGGAAATTAAWAAAGGTAGAGAGTGGGAAAAGCATGTTAGTTTATTTTATGGTAACCTCTCCACAGCTGATGTTTTTCTAGTTAGTTATAAAAATTGTCCAAATGATGCTGAGATGATGTGTAGAGCAAGAACTACAGTGTGGGTGGAGACAAAACAAAAAATGTTAATAAAAGGTTTCTTATAATTAGATTTGTTTATAAATATATAATGTAGATGTACTCTGGGAAAAGGGCAGTAATAATAAACGTTATAACCCAAACCCCTGTCCCCTGTTCATTAATCCCCCAATAACCTATAATGTTTCATCCAGCTGGAGTCACGGTCCTGAGCAGTCCTTTCTCACTCATATCAGTCCACCTGCAATGTGGCCTTGGTCCGTCGATCTCCTAGTGGATCCTGTTCGTGACGCCAATATTGTTGTGGAAATCTTTATTTTACCTAGACARAAACRCAAGATACAAGAAGAAAAAGTACTSCGTGAGTGGTCAGCAAGATTTATTGCAATTGCAAGACACACATCATGTCACACTGGGCAGTGGTACAAAATGTGTGAAATGAGGCAGTCTCAAATACACTCATTTATACAGCTTGTGTTATCCAAACAGACAAAACTGGGCCAAGAAAAGAATTATGTTTGATAAACAGCAACAAGAATGATTACTTCTAAAGAGATATTGTCCTGATCTTAAAACACTTTSTCTGAGAGAAAACAGAAGATAAAGAGTAAAACCATAAAACAATGACATTTTAAAGTAAACAAAAGAGGTCACTGACTCTTGGCCTGAGAAGAAATGTAGGACTTTAAGGGATAATTTATTTTTCCAAGATAAAGGTCTTTGCTGAATTGTTAAAATGTTTTTTCTTTTATGATTCAGTGTTACTAGAGCAAGCAAGTTAGTTGTAAWAAACGTTTTTAAAATGCATGAGTCTTTATATATGCTTCTGTCATGTTCCCTCCCTTCATTGCGTTTCTGTCCTTCTCCACAGCAAGGAAAAACAAGAAGCTACACAAAGTTAGACCTCAGCGGCCCCCCGGGCCACCAGAGCCYGTTAACTTGCCCATTCCAGTCATACCGAAGAACCTGCCCCAGCTGGTGCCCACCATGCTGTCCGTTCTAAAGGCCATCGAACCAGAGATCATCTACTCGGGCTACGACAGCACGCTGCCGGACACCTCGTCACGCCTCATGAGCACCCTCAACAGGCTAGGGGGTCAGCAGGTCATCTCGGCAGTCAAGTGGGCCAAGTCATTGCCAGGTACCAAGAACTTCTTCATCTTTTGTTTGGGTTTGGATTCACCGGGCTCCTCGAGCAAAGTGTGTCCCACCAACCAGACACCAAATGGGTTTCACTRTTTATGGGGAACCAAGACGCCTACTTTTCTGTGTGCTACATTTACAGACAAATTGTTCACAAAACTGTTGCTTCTTCTTGATAGTCACCTGAGCATTAAATGTCAGGAGTCCTGTCACGATAACAAATTTTGCTGGATGATAAATAGCCTCTATGCYACGGACTTCCRATTCTAACACTTCMGCATTCTTTAGCCCCTCACCGGTCTTCCGTTTCGCAGGCAACACAGTGTTAGCAAAAGATTTTTTCACTCAACAAYGACTGTTAATGATCTCCACAGTACAGAATTAGCAGCATGTACCAACATTAACTCAGGAGACGTACAGGTCCAGCCAAGTGGAAAAATAATCACTCCAAAGTGGATTAAAGTCATAAAAACAAAGGAAAGACGTTTGTGTTTGTGGTTCCAGAATTTAGCCTTTTTTTRCCGGTGTTGGTGCTCGTTTTGTCTACGCTGTAATATACACTCTAACAAGTTTTTATTTTTGCATAGAACTCATGATAAAGTTGCCTAAAATAATTTCATACTCTGTATAAAACAAACGCACACACACCTACATTTGTACTTGCTGCTGTGTTAGCTTCCTCCTAGCTGTCCTCTGGGGGAGGTCTTTCCTCTCTCGGTCTTGGCGGTAAAAGGGGATAAATGTAAATTTCCCTTTTGTAACCTCCGTCTTCTCATTTCTGATGCTGGCTCTTGAATATCCTCAGGTTAGAAATGCAGATTACAAACGCGAGCKTGATCTTTTATAGCTAAGTTTTCCCTGCYATGATCCACTGCTGTCACCTCCTCATCAAGAGGAAAATGAAGAAAAACTAACTACTCTATACCTGCTGGTTAGTTGACACAACGGCACACAACAGAACTCACATTTTATACCAGTAGCTCACAGATGCTTTAACTTTTGTGACTTTTTCACGGACTTGTCCTAACAGCTTACGCTAAAAACAAAGGCAGTAAGAAGGAAGTGGAAGAGAGGTGCGGGGTTGGAATTTTAAWGGAAATACGTCATCAATGGCCGTGGCATATAGGCTATTRTTTCAATTTATTGCGATAAATGATAATATATTTTGGAGACCATTTTAAGCTACTTTAATGACAATAGGTAAAACAACACATAACAGCTACTGAAGCTGTAAAATCACTACCCACCTCTATCCAAGCCAGTGCAATTTATTATTTATGCATCTTCCTTTGGATTCTTAAAATAACTGCGGCCACCGTCACGCCGTTTACGAAATTTACGTAGAGCAAAAGAAACAACTCTTGGCAAACACCAAGTTGAGCATGGTGCCCTGTGGGCGTCCTGAGGCGTCACCAGCTGAAAGAAGGCATCGGAAAAAAACAAAGATGGTCCTCTAGTTGAACATCTGTTCATAGGGMTCTCGTGTTAAAAAGGTTACGAGACCATGCGCCGGCCAAATACCTGATGCGAGAGRTCACTCCTCCTACGATAAGGAGTAGAGAAGAGGGAGACGGGTAGAAAACAGACAAGCAGSCRAATGAAAATTAACAACCTCATTTAAATTTATTGACCACATTTTTATTTATCATGTGATTCATGGATTTATTGCGATCAGCAACTAGGAACACTGATGCCAAGTTGTCATCTTTCCGTGCAGTGGTGCAACTTAACCTTTACAATTGTGCATAAATTATAACACTATTAATCTAGAAGCAGATGTTATAATTCAGAAAGTCCAAGTGTGTGTTTCAGAAATTGGATGAGTTGTCAGGTCATTCCTACAGTCGGGAACATGACTTTAGAGGGGCTTTCCAGGCGTTGTGACTGCTGTCTCTAGCTGAATAAATGCAGAAGGAATGGCCTAGTTGAGTTTTATCATTTAGCTAATTAAATCCAGTTTAGGCTGGTAGCCAATTTGTTCTGTAAATTGATTTAGACTGTAGAAGTTGTACTTTTAAAAATGKCTCCACTTTGCATCACAGACAGATGTTCAGCATCCATGTAATAAAATGTGTGACCTCTCGAACAGCTGAATCTGTAATTAGATGGAGGCGTGGTGTAATTGTGGCTCGAGAAAGAGCAGCTCATTGAAGGAACTAAGCTCCCCCGAAGTACTTTGATGTTAAAAAGGTCTCGACTGGGTTTATTTTCTGTTTGGGGTTGTAAATATGATCTTTTGAGGCACATTATGCTGCTTTTCTTTTTGAGGATTTAATTTCTTAGGCTTTTTATGAAATCTATGAGACGTGCTTTGGAAAAAATTTCTCATGAAGATAGAAAATCTCTCACTTTCAACCGCTGCTTTACACTACTTTTCCATGTGGCCAGTTGTAAAGCATGAAAAGAGGTAATTTGACTTCACTCCACCCCTCTCKTTTAAAGAATCAGCTACAGTGCACAACAAGATACTTAGTCTTGTTGTGAGTAATGTGTTGCAAAACAGCATCACAGAAACAAATGTTGAAGAAGCATAACTTCCAGCTCTTGGATTCACATCATGTTTTTTCTATATCATATAGTCTCTTGATATTTGTTTGGATTTTAAGAAGAATTTGTGTTGCTTTTATTGGCAAAAGTTCAACATTTATTTACGTGTTGTTGGAGACATTGATGCCACTTCTCTTGAGAGGAATACATTTCTAACTACGAATAAAAAAAATTTAGAGCATTTTTAACTTTGGTTCAGTTTTTARCTGCTGATGAGTAGGAAAAATACAATACTTTCTACCTTAGATGTAAAATAAATGCAGCATCATTTAAATTTAAAGCAGGGTGGAGATAAAACTGAGGCCAGTTACCACTGATAGAAGTAGAACCTGCTTTCCYTGTTTTAATGTAGGTGACTCACTTAATGAGATGTTTCCAAAACCCTGTCAACCCTGATTTGGCACGATTGTGCTTCTTTGAAAGTTTGAGGTTAGTAGAGGTTCCACAAGTCCAAAGAAATGCTTTTAAGTTACCTCCATAATACTTCCTTGTTTCACATCTTAAAGTTGCTGACACAATAAACCACACAAACTTTTTATAATAAAAAAAGGTTTGATTGATAATATTGCATTAATAGAGTTATTATTTAAAGTGCTGATATGTCCACTCTAGAGGTGTTTAGGGACAAAACCTAAACAAAGCTACTCAGGTTTTAGTTCGTAAATTTTATTATTTAAAAAAATGATTATGTTGCAAACTTTAAGAAATAAAAAATAAACCATGTCAGGGATGAACATTGGTGCTTTTCCGCTTTGTAAAAACAGAAATGGAAAGAGTTTGGAACCTGTCGAACGACTGGTCATGAGGAAGAGAGCGCGTGACTCCATAATCACTCCAAGTATTTTATGTGTAAATTTAAGATTATACTCCCCACTGAAAGCTTTATGTCAAACCATAACAGATTGTCTTTTAACTTCTATTCCAGCGACATTCCAAGACATAAATCTGGCCTCACATCTTCTTGCCTGTGTGTTTATAGAGTCTGTAGGTGGCAGAATGAAGAAATGACCTTAAAAGGGGAAGCRGGGTCTCTTGTGTAACATGACATAGTTTAAAGCAAATGTTATGTGAAAAGACTTGAAAAAAAACGGCTTTTGTCATTTTAATGGACTGAAAAAGACTAAGCTGCAATATAAATCAATTTAAACATTAAAGTGGTTAGGCTGGTCCTTTTATATACATTATGTACTGTAWATATGACCCATCACATTGAAACAAGGATTCAGTCTAAAATTTCTGTTTGGTGAAATAGGCAGATATAGTGTTTAGATTAAAATGCTTGCAAAAATTACATTTTGTCAAAATATAACAAATAAATTGTGTTATCATTGTATCATTTCAATGAACTGTCTGAAATATTATCCTTAAAAAATTTTTGAAGCACTTTTTTGAGCATTAGCAACCAAAAACCCGATTATGAGGAAAAACGCTTTAAAATGTTGAGATTTTCGCTTTAAGCTATCAAAGCTTTTGTTTCTTTCCAGCTGGGAAATCTCAATATTCAAATACTATTTTGAGGTTTCTTTTTTTTCAAATGACATAAAAAATCCTCGTTACAATTACATAAAATTAGAATTTAGACCAAATATTTCTGTATTATTGTAACCAACAAGACAAATTAAATAATAGCTCTGGATCTACTAATGATATCAGGATGATCTAAGTATCACAATGTAGCTTTTAAAGCCAGGAATATGAAAATATGATTAAGTCATACTGAAGAAATTTGACTTAATCCTCATTTCGATGTTATGGGTCACATTTATGACATGATAGTTATAGTAATATCTGTGTAGAGGAATAAAATGACCAAAATCAAAAATAAGTACATGTGTAAATGTCACTATGAACAATATAAGCAAATAAATGCACCTGAAATGAGATTTAGAACTWTTTTAGGAAGCCATGATACTTGATAAATAATGCCAGAGCTCCATTATCCCTAAAGAAGATGTTTGTTTTGTTTAGCATTTTTTAATCCATGAGCCTGGCCAAAACAAAAACGTTCCCAACAAAAAAAAAGGTAATCCCAAAGTTTCTCAATGGACTCTGTGGAGCCAATCCATGTGTGAAAATRATGTCTCATTCTCCCTGAACCACTCTTTCACAATAAGAGCCCCATGAATCCCGGTAATGTCATCTTGGAATATGGCCATGTCATCAGGGAAGAAACAATCCATTGATAGAATAACCTGGTCATCCAGTATATTCAGGTCAGCTGACCTCATTCTTTGAGCACAGACTGCTGCTGAACCTAGACCTGACCACCTGCAGCAACCCTACATCATAGACATTAGTTAAACCCAGGTGGCAGGTTGTTTTATTTATTTATTTTTTCGTATATTTATAATTTGATTCATTATCCAGAGCTGTAGCACTAAATGGATTAGTATGCCATTCTTTTTTTAGGTGTTTTCTGGTCAGTCACAACACATTGAATCTGTAAACTTGTTTTTAAACTCCCTRCAGTCGACCTTTTTGCAAACCAGGCGGACACTAAAATAAAATCGACCCTGGCGGCAGACAGAGCAGCTGCTTTGCTCTGACATGGAGATGTTGCTTTGAGCTGCTGCTGATCACCGTTAAAAACAACAACCCATCAGACTCTGGCAGATCAGTAGCACTATTCCAGACAGCTTAACCAGAATCACTGCTTGTTGTTTCAAAAACTGTATTATCTAATATTTGTTTTCGGTCAGTGTAACTAATGAATACAAATTAGTCTCCATCATTCATGGAACAATCTGTGAGCTGGAGCAAATATTTTCTAAATTTTTTAACCTACTTGGCATCTAAACAACACAKCCGTGTTGAAACTGTGAMAAAGATTTTTATGCACATTTTGAAATCAATGTCGTTGTTTTTTTTGTTTGTAAATTCCCTTTTTTTTCTATCTGTTTTTGTGTCTAACCAGTTTTTTTTCTTCCCCCTCTCAGGTTTCCGTAGCCTCCACCTTGATGACCAAATGACATTGCTGCAGTGCTCCTGGCTGTTCCTCATGTCCTTCAGTCTTGGTTGGAGGTCCTACGAGCAGTGCAACGGCAAGATGCTCTGCTTTGCCCCAGATCTTGTCATAAACAAGTGCGTACCCATCTGTTCTATTATTCTTTTTTTGTTTATTTATCTACCTATCTATCATTATTTATCCAGACAAGTCCCGTTGAGATCACAGATCTCTTTTTCAAGGGAGGCTTGGGCCTAAAGCAACCTATTGTGCATGTTTTTGAGTTGTGGGGGAACCGTGGATCAAATCCTGGATGTTCTTGTTGTGAGGCGTCGGTGCTAACCACTGATCCATCGCGCTAAACCATGGTTTCTTCAGCAAAACATTTTATCTGATAGATGTTTGCTCTGTTTCACTTCACATGACCCAATACCTAAAGAGAAATGGGATTAAATTGAGAATTTTCATTCAAACAGTTTGGTAAATATTATTGGAAGAACAAAAGGCTTCATGTAAAAAATAATAGTGAGTGAGTGAGTGAATAAGTAAGTGAATAAGTAAGTGAATAAG